ACCTGGCTGGGGCAGGAGGAATATCACAGTCATGCAGGCACATCAGGACACAGACAAGCTGCTCAGACCCACGTCACTGGGCCCATAACTACCCCCATGCCCTGAGTGGCCAGGTGACTATGGAGGTAATGTACAGGTGGTATGGACTCTGCCTCAGGGTGTCTGCTTATCAGCAGCCTGCAATCTTGCTCATCTCCATTCGTTATTCCTGAACTGGACCCAGGCAAAATTTTGAAGTACATGAAACATTTCCCTGGGGGTCCTCATGCTTTCCTTTTGGGGTACACTTCCCCATCCGCAGAAGGGAATCTTAAAAGACTGCCAATGTTGCAATAATAACCCACCTTTTCTGGTCTGTCCTCTGACCCTCATGTCCTCCACCTACATCCCACACTCCCTCCTTACATTTTTAGAGTTTACAGAGCACTGTGCTAGGTACAGAAGCAAATCCAGAAATGTCAGATGGCAGTGGGAAAGCTGGTGCAGCTACAGACCTGTGCATTCATGCCACAGGAGGGTGAGGCGGGCTGCTCTGGGCTCATCTTTGGTATTCTGCAGCTGTCGCTCTCTCCTAGTTCAGCTTTTGATCTGTCCCAATGCCTGGGGTGGGCGTAAGGGCACAAAAGAATAGTTTTCACAAAGAGTTATGGGGGGCAGCTGTTTCATTCCCAACTGCCTCTCATCCAATTCACCCTCCTGCTTGGGCAGTTCCTGCCATAAGTAGGGTAGGCAGTGGAGCGAGTACCTTCAGGGATATGTCTTCCCAAAATTGTATTGTCACATGCTCCCCTGGTGCTGCATTTCCCCACACCAGGCCACAAATGGGGCTGTGATAAGGTGAAAGTGGGAGAAGAGAGGCATTCAGAAAGGATACTGGGGAGAAAGTTGGAAAGAATAAAAACAGCGAAACTTTCTGAGCACTTACTGGATGCCTGCATTGCAGTGCAATACTTGGTAACCATTAATTCATTTCATGCTCATGGCAGTCCCACAAGGAGGTGCTATTCTTATCCCCATTTACAGAGGAGTGAGCAGGTAAGTTCAGAGGCTGGCCTGGCACCACACGGACACAGGTGGGGCTGGCATTTGAACTGACATGGTATCACTCCAGAACACCTCTTCTCAAGCACTCTGTTATGTTGCTGCTCCCAGTCTCTTACCAGCTTGGGCAGTAGTCTACTCACATTACCTGAGTTGGGAAGGAAAGACAGACAGCAGCCCAGCTTCACCCTAGAGATCCTAATGCAGCTGGTCTAGGAGAGGGCCTGGACATTCACATTTTTTAAAAGGTCCCCAAGGAATCCCAGTATGTAGCCATGGTTGAGAACCACTGGTCTAAACCAATCAATGCCCAACAGCATCAACTGGTTTGTTAGGCCTGAAAGAATGAGCTAAGGTGAGATGTGTCTGTGGGCATTGAAGGGATCCCTGCATGGGCAAACTGTAAGAGGGCAGATGTGGTGGGAGCGAGCTGTGAAAAGAATGAACTGGCATAAAGAGGAGACACTGGATAAAATTTGGAGCCCCATTTCAGAGCTCTGTTGTAGGCCTGTTCTTCAAAAAGATTCCCTCCAAATAGTTGAAGGCTCCCTTCCTCAGTGAGTGACCAGCCAAGTGAGGAAAGCTGAACATGTCACGCAAGATGGTTTTAGAGCATTAACAGATCAACTCAGCAGTAGCTGCAAGTGAGCTGAGGCAAACTGAGTCCCTATGACCAGGAGCTCTCCAGGAATAGGGCTTACCAGGAACAGCTTTTGGGAAGACAATTTTGAGCCACATTTAGGAAGCTGGGCACAGTGTGGCTAGAAGAGAAAAGAGAGGACTGCATCTCAAATGTGAAGAATATGGTGTGTGTCTGAATGCTTGGAAAGGGGTAGAATGGTTAGGTGTTGTGGAGGGAATAGGGAGGAGATAAAGTCCTCCAGAACAGTGATTCTCTGCTGGAGAGGGATAAGCATTTGAGCAGGGAGATGAGAGAGGAAAGGTGGTGAGAAAAGTCCAGCTGCTGGAAGGGTCTACAGGCTCTGCCAGAAAGCATAAGTTTGCTACAGTCAGCGTCAGGGTCCATTCTGGGTCTGGTGAGCACTGAATTGGAGGCAAAGGAATGAACTGGCAGCCCAGACAGCCTGATGCAGACCCTAGTGAAGCATCAGCTGATCAGAGACAGGCGTATACTTCTAAGGTGGCCAGAGAGGAGGAGCTTCCCAGTGAGGTTCCAGGTCGCCCTGCTGGCTGCTGGTGAACGGACGGTGAGAGACAGGAGAGTGCTCGCAGCAGGTGAACAGTGTGATATTGTCCAAGGCTGCATGCCTGCTTCTGAGACCCAAGACTTCTCTCTGGTAAGGGGTGATCATCCACTCCCTCCTCCAGGGACCCAACAAGGATCAAGCCTTAAGCCATTCAAAGACTGGAGTTAGTTGTCACAAAATATTTTTCCCTACCATGGCTGGCAAATGTAAATGTGGGGACAGAGAATAAGGACTTAGACCTCAGGTGCCTTGTCTTTCTTCATGCATTTAACCACACTTGAAATTCCCTCTTTCTCCTCCGACTGTCCAACACTTACCCAACTTCCAAAACTCAACTTGAATCCCACTCCTCAGGAAGTTTTTTTGGTCTACCCAAGCCCAGCAGTATCCCTTACTCAGAATTTCTAAAACAGTGCTGTCCAGTAAAACCTCCCGTGACGCTGGAAATGTTCCCTGTCTGTTCTGTCCACTATGGCTACACGTGGCTATTGAGCACTTGGCCTGTGGCTAATAAAACCAAGAGACTGAATTAATTAATTTAAATTTAAATAGCCACATGTGCCTACTAGCTACCATCTTAGCCCATTCCTAGAGCATGTGTTGTCTAAAACAGTGATTTAATACTTATGATCTCAAGTGTCTGTATACTGGAGACCTACTGTTTACCAGATACCTTAGTAGGTGCCTTGCACAAATTATCTTAACTGACAACAGCTTCTCATAAGAAGGTATTATCACCCCCATTTTAGAGAACAAGAAATAAGAGAATCAGAAAAGCCTCCTGAAAGAATGATCGAGCTGGATTTGAATCTGGGATTGACTAGATCCAGAGCTTGTGCTCTTTTTATGATACTACATTTCTTAGTACCATTTTCTCTTCATCAGTTGGACAAACTGATTCTATAGGTAGCCTCTTACTATCTGCAGAGGTCCCTCTTGCCATCTCTTATAAACTAGTTGTTCATGCCCCCTCTTCTACATTTGACTTTGGGTGAGTTCCTAGGGTGGGCCAGCAGGCAGACACCAAGACTGCAGAGCCTGAGTGAGGTGGCAAGTAAGTGTGAATTACAGCAATTAGTCACTGGGCAGGCATGGTGGACAGGGCAGGCAGAGTTGGAAGGTAGGGTGCAGAGCTGAACAGAAGCCTGGAAGATTTGAGGCAGGAAGTTTGAGGCTCTGCTTCCAGAGTTCAGTTCTCACCCCAGGAAGCCTCAGTCCTGTCCCCAAAGTACTTCTTGGGATATAAAAGCAGAGGACAGTTAACAGTTTCAAACTAGGATTCATGGGTGTCTATAAATTGGAGTGATTATTGGTCTACTTTCAGTAAAAAATATCAAGAACCTTAAGGATTTGGATTCAATAAGTAGGCATTAAAGACTGAGATTCTGCATTTTATCAAAAGCCAGGCAATTCTTGTTACAGTCTTGATTTCAAATCCCATTTCTTTAACTTGCAGGTTGCTACTTATACACTATTTTGGGTTTCAGTTTACAGCTAGCAGTCCTTCCTCCTCTGATCTTCCCTTTAAGAGATTCTTAAGCCTGGCTGCACATTACACTCACCTGGGGGGCTTTAGAAAAATACTGATGGCCAAACTCCAGACTAATTGACCAGACTCTCTGGGGCTGTGCTCAGGCATCTCCTAGGGGAGTTGACTCTGATGTACAGCCAGGGCTGAGAACCCCCCTCATCTACCACTCAACCACAGCCTGCTTCATGTTTCCTATTTGTCTCTCCTTTTGGCTGGGCTGTCACCTCTGACCCTGTGTAGCCTTCAGTATAGTACCTTTCACAAACACACTTTAAAGCATGTCCAATTGAATGAAATATTTTCGTCTAGTTTAGTTCAGCTTTATAGGCACCATAACATTGCCTGGAAGTTGGACTCTTTTGCCCAAAGATAAGAAATGATTCTCATTCCTATGTCCTTTCTGAACCATCCTCTTGGCTAGATCTTGGGTCCCCTCTTCCTTTAGCATAGCTCTGTGAGAACCACCTCATGTCACACAGAGGTCCAGTAACAAGAGGAGCACCTGGGGTTAGATGCAAGAGCTCCAGGTGGCAGGATGGGTGCAACTGCCTGAGCTGGCTGGAGAGCCACGGGGGCTCCATCACCAGGTGTCAGGTTGTTGGTGATAGCCCCTTCCAGCTCCTGGTCCCTCCACTGCTGATAGCACAGGAGCCAGCACAGTGGCTGAAGGAAATCTTTCAGGTTGGAGGTTCTTTCCTCTAAAGATTCTTGGTGACATGGTGGGCAAGTGGGAGCAGGCCTGGTCTCAAGCAGAATCATGAGGCAGATGAGGATTCCTCAGATGCCCATCTCCCTTTCTTCCTCCTTTTATTACCAATAGCCCCCAGACCCTGCCACTTTCCCAGAGGCCACTGTTCTCTTCCCCTCCCTCTAAGCCTGCTCTAAGAAAGGTAAACTAATTCACACTGGGTTGAATATTTCTAATCAAGTTAAGTGTGCTACCCAGTTCCAGGTTTCTTTGTTTATATTTAAATAAAAGAGGAGTGTTTCAAATGATGGAATTTTAACTGTCATTGTGGATTAAGTATTTTTGAGGGGAGTACAGGCTTTTTCTGAATTCCTGAAATTACAAAGTCTACTTGAAATCAGGGATGTGGGAGAGCACCTGCTTCTGGGGATGCTGCTCTGTCTATTTTAAAGGAGAGATTTTGCCTTTGGGGACTCACCTTCAAGATACCCCTTGGGACACACCAAGTCTCATGTATCCATTCTCCTGCCAGATGTGGACGAGTGTGTAGAAGGGACCGACAACTGCCACATTGATGCTATCTGCCAGAACACCCCACGGTCATACAAGTGCATCTGCAAGTCTGGCTATACAGGGGATGGTAAACATTGCAAAGGTGAGGCTGGGAGTGTGTCTGGAGAAGGGGGACTTGCCTGAGTGGGGAAACCAGTGGCACTGTTCTCATTTGCCATACTGTGCATTACACTAAGGCCTGCAGTCCCTGATAGATGGACACAGGGATTAGGGATGGGAAGCTATTTCTTCTGGGAGGTGGGAGGGTACCATTTTCTAATTTTCTCAGAGACACTATGTAGGCTAGCTGAAGCCCTGGCATGGGAATAGTTCACAGCCCCACAGCCTGGCTGGGTGGGGGGACCACAGTCATGGGACTAAGGCCTCAGGTTCTCTGACACTGGAACCTCCATCCTTGGATCCTTACACCTTGCCCACAGAGGATGAGGACAGTAAATTTACTCCACAGGAAATTTATACTTTTAACAGACACATCTTCCCCTCATAATTACAGCAAGAAAAATTAGAGCATGTTATTTTAAATGTATGACCTTCAGTGTGTTGGTAAGACTTCAGTGGATAAGGTACTTGTCCTACATTAACTACATTAATTCCTGGTGATATTATGAATTGAAAAGTGATTTTTTTTCATACCTAGTAGGAATCTTTAAAAATATTTATATCCTTTGACCAGGAATTTTAGGGACTTATTAAAAAGAAGTTCAAAGAAATAATATATGAGAGATGTTCTTTGATGAATTATTTATGAAAGTAAAATAAATGAAAGAAATATCCTAAGTTATGATATAGTGACACAATGGACTACTCTGTTACCATGTACAGAGTTAATTAGACTGGGTAGAGACATGTAAAAATACTTATGACTTAAGCTAAATGAAAATAGCAAAATGCAAAATGGTATGTAGGCTATGAAAGTAACTGTATAAACACACACAGTGATTTTGTATTTTTAAAAAACCACCACAAGGCTGACCTTGGGGTGGACAGTTGGGGGTCTAGCTGCCTCAGCAATTCTTTGCCCACAGATGTGGATGAGTGTGAACGAGAGGATAATGCAGGTTGTGTGCATGACTGTGTCAACATCCCTGGCAATTACCGATGCACCTGCTATGATGGATTCCACCTGGCACATGATGGACACAACTGTCTGGGTGAGTAAGGGAGAGTTGTGGGAAGGGATGCCCTATGGGGAAGGAGGTATCATCGGCATTTCCCATTTCCCAGGCAAGGAGAGGCAAGTTCTCAAAAAGGTGCATTCTCACAAAATAGAGGATAAGGTCAGCCTCTCCTTTGAGAGTAGGCACTGAGGATGAAATAATCCTGCTGTTGGATGAAAAACATCAAAGGGCATGCTGCCAGGAAGTGCCCCCGGGGCTAGGGTCAGGAGATGACAATAGTAGGCTTTGCCACAGTGGGTAGAGCATAGTAGAAAGTTCGGAGGGTCATTTGGCTCCAGACAAATGCTGGTTCTTTTGCTTATTAGCTATGGAGCCTTGAGCAAATCAAGTAATCTCTGGGCAGCTCAGCTTCTTCATCTCTAAAATGGGGATGGTAATATCCCACTCAAAAACCTCCTGGGTGAATCACCATGAGAGAACATGTGTAAAGAGCTCTGTACAATCCTTAGTACGTAGTAGGTGCCTAATAAACAGGAGGAATGTTGTGGATAATAATGTGCCCAGGGGAGCCTCTGACCCTTAAAGGCTGGTTTTCTCCCAGCTCTTGCTGCAATCTCCAGCTCACCCTCTCCTCACTTCTGAGGCCTCAGCCTGGCCTGGTCTCCTTTGTCCCATGAGCTAGATCAGTGATAAGAGAATCTTTAGGGAACTCAACTCAACTTTGGTCTCTATCATTTTGGAAAATTATACTGGGACCATATCAGATTCTTCTCTAAGAGGAAAAAGTAAGCCCAGAGCAAAAAAAAGGAACTCGGGTCCTCTCCTGAATTCTGTCTCTCTGGTACCAAAACAGAAATAGGAGACTGGAAGAATAGAAGGCCAGGAAAGGAAGAGAAACGAGAGGAATGATGTCCAGGAAAGCAGGATACCCAGGATTCATTGGCCAAGGAGAGCCTCCTTACTATAGAGCTGTCTCTCAACCCAGTCACATTCCATCCTTGGACCAGGTGTATAGGTTTCTGCTTCCAACCCAGGCATCTAAACCCTGATCCCTGCTGGGTCCTTACCCTGGGCCCTGGCCACCTATCCTACCACTTAGCTGTCAGGGAAGGACCTTACTTCTCATCTGCCCAGTAATCTGTGAAGGCCTCTTTGGGGACTACTTTGGAAAGATGACACTTGGACCAGGACAGTTAGTTACCCACAGGTCTGTGAACATCAGCTTCTAAGTTCTAAGTTTCCCAGATTCTCACCAAGTCTAGTTTCCCTGTAAATGCTTTGGGGACAACCAACCAGAGAGATAAGAGAGTAAGTAGAGATGGAAAGGGTCAGGGGAAGCAAAGGTCTATCTAACCCTAACCCTAGGATTGGTGTTCAAGGTCTCAGTCCTACGTTTGGCTTTTAGGGGAACTCTGAGTGAGTCTAACATGCCCTGGGCCTCGGTTTCCCCTCTGAGAATTGGAGAAAAGAATTTGGCTAGAGTAGCAAAGTCACAAGGTTGGGATAGAAAGGAGCAAATAGGATGGAATGTAAGATAGGACAAGAGCAGAAAGACAGGGAGGGAAGAGTCAGGGGTGTAGCAAGAGATGGGTGAGGGACATGAACAGGCAAAGGAAAGGACACCTCCTTGGTTTTCCCAACAGGAGCACCTCTCAGACAGGAGTCTGCTAAATCCAGGCCCCTCTCGTGGCCAGAATGGAAAGGCACAGCTTTCAGAGCTCAGCAGAGAGCATGGGAAGAGAGGGGCAGATGAGGCCTTCAGGAGCCCGGATTTAAGCATCTACATGGGGAGCAATCTCCTTAATGCCTCCTGGGCCAAGGAAGACTGAGAAGGGCTGTGGACTTGGGAGGGCAGTAGGTGGCACAGAGACCGAGTCAAGGCATTGAGTGGGAGCCCCATGATGAGCTTGGCTCTGGGGCTGGGGGTGGTGATACTGGGTGGTGATTGGGGTGTGGCCTAGAAGCTCTTCCCCCATCCCTCCCTGCCAAGCTACCAGACTTTGTTTTGTTAAACCAAAATAGGAGAAAGTCTAGAAAATATGGCAGTAAGCCCAGGCATGGAGGAATGGGAGGAAAGACAGGGCCATGGCCTGTCCACAGAAATCGGCCCTGCCCTGCAAGAAGCCGAGATTCACCACCTTCCTCCATGCCGCCCCTCTGGCCACAGCACCGTGGCCGTAGCTCTCCCTGCACATGGAGTCCATTTCCCAGATTCTCTGATTCCTGGCTGATTGTCACAACCAGCTGCCGCCAGTTCCTTTCCCTGACCAATCTCCATCCTTATCTCTGTTCCTCTTGCTCTGGCTCCTTCCCTGACCTCGTCTGCCCTCAGACTCAGTTTGAACAGGTAAGGAGAAAGGGAGGCAAGTGTTCACCTCAGTGAGCCGAATTCAAATGTCCCTTCCCTCTGCTTAGCTCCCCAGTTCTGCCCTCTTAGAGTGGCCTCTTAAAGAACAGCAGAACATGAGCTGATGAGAGGGTGACAACTGCCTGGCCTAAGGCTGGGTGTGGAATTTGGGGTGTGTGTGTGTATGTGTGTGTGTGTGTGCTGCTCTCAGCCCTTGGTGCTTAAGTCCCAGGGCACACCCTTAACCCTGGCCTGCATGCCATGGCCTCAGCAAACACCTGTCCTGCACAGATGTGGATGAGTGTGCTGAGGGCAACGGCGGCTGTCAGCAGAGCTGTGTCAACATGATGGGCAGCTATGAGTGCCACTGCCGGGAAGGCTTCTTCCTCAGCGACAATCAGCACACATGCATCCAGAGGCCAGAAGGTCAGCCCGTGTGACCTGGGAGGGCCCAGCCCTGCACTCCCAGGCTTCTCTTTCCATTTGCTTGGGAGCTTTCTCTCAGTACCCCCTAGGTCTCACCCTCTGCTCTTTCTCTTGTCCCTCAAACCAATCATATTCTAAGGGCTACAGGAACAGTCATTCTGTTAGAGCAAAACCTAGAATAATTCATTTGGGGCTGAGTAAGTGTAGGACTGAGGCCATTGTGGGGCATCCTCTATGTCCAGACCTGAGGTGCATGCTGTTCCTAATTGCAGTGGCTGAGCTCTGAGCTGCTATTATCTGAAAGGGCCTCAACATACATTATTCCTTAGATTGGAGTAGGTGGGCCAGGCAGGAATAGCAGGGTATGTGTTATTTCTATGACTGGACCCACCCACTTCCCAGACTGTGACATCTCTGAGGGCAGGGACTATGTCTAATTCATCTTTATATCCCCAGAAACTAATATACTGCCCTGCATGTAGTGGGAACTTAATAAATATTTGTTGAATAAAATCATATAGTAATTACCTGTACCAGTTGTTCTTACTCACATTATGTTATTTATATTCTTTCCAGGGGAGATCTGAGGGAGCAGATCATGTCTTATATTTTTCAGGGTCCTTTCTAAATCCACCCAGTACCAAGCACAGTGCTGGGCAACTAATTAGACACTATTTTTTGGTTGTTGAAGGATGGTAATCATGCAGGTTTTCCTGGGGCTAGGTCGCAATACCTTACATCACGTAGAATGGCTCTGAGTTCTGCTTAGTGGCACCCAGCTCTGTAGGCAGGATGGGGGCCTGTGAGGGAGAGGGTCAGTCTCCTCTCTGCGTTGCAGCTTCAGTGGGATTTTCCTAATTTTTTAGGCCCCAACTATTCCTTCTAGTTTCTTTTCCTCTAGGTGTCCAGGAGTACAGAACATTCACCCCCTTCCTCTTCCCTTTTAGAAGGAATGAATTGCATGAACAAGAACCATGGCTGTGCTCACATTTGCCGGGAGACACCCAAAGGGGGTATTGCCTGTGAATGCCGTCCTGGCTTTGAGCTCACCAAGAACCAGCGGGACTGTAAATGTGAGATAAGTAGTAGGGCAGTTGGGGAGAAGGGGAGACAAAGAGGAAGGGTGGGGGGCTTTGTTAGCAAGAGGTGGGAGGAAAAGGGAGCAGGGGAGAGGCAACTAGATAAGATGGCCAGTTCCCGTGTTATGGAAAACTGTGGTACCCAGGGAGAAGCAAGCTGACAGACCTCCTGCCCTCTCTGCACAGTGACGTGCAACTATGGTAACGGTGGCTGCCAACACACGTGCGATGACACAGAGCAGGGTCCCCGGTGCGGCTGCCATGTCAAGTTTGTGCTCCACACTGATGGGAAGACGTGCATCGGTGGGTGAGGCCAGTGGAGAACTCAGTCCATCTGTGATGGGGGTGGGGGTAGAGGCCCTTGGGAACCAGGGGATAGGGGAGCACATGGGGCCCAGGTGCTGGGCTCAGAATGACTGGAGAGTTGAAGATCCAGAGAATGCCAGGTCTAGTGAGGGACAACTGAGAAATTGAAGGGCTCGCATAACCCTCTCCTCCCCTACCCATGGGTTCTACTGACCTGCCCCCAGGAGCCTCACCATCCTCTCTGTCCAGGTTGAAGTGTTGCCAAACTGGGGATAATTAGCAGAGGTGTTTGTTGACCAAGGCTGTGGTTGAGAAGGGGTAGGAGATCTGGGACCATGCAGCAGAGACGCTGATTGACTGGTGTGGTAAGGTGGGAGCTGCCACAGCCCACTGTTCCCACTCTGCAACTGAGCCGGGGATAGAGCAGTCTTTCCTGGAGCAGCCAGCCCTGAACTGACACATGGGGTTTCCTGACTCCAGATACCATTTTGCCCTCTGTCCTTTCTCTTCTCACCCTCCTCCTGTAAATCCCCTTCCCAGCCCTGTCCCAGCCCCCAGGCTCCTTCTCTCTCCTCCACACTCCAGTGATACTCCCTCTCGGCTCTGCCCGGAGGCCTCCCACCTCCTCACCTACTCCAGCCCTCCATCCCTCTTGCCCTGATTTGGGGCCTTAACACCTGTATCCCTTTTTTGAATTCCTAGGCTTTACCTCACTTATCTTCAGGTACCACAGATGAGTTTAATTCCTTTATTTTTATTCCTAATTCCTTAAGTCTTTAGGTCACTAGTGAAGGCCAATTACTGTGCATTCACAAGTGCTGGGAAAGATGATGGAAGAAAGTGTCCTTTGGGAGAAGTGGAGAGGAAAGGGAAGGATGTGGGCAAGGGGCAAGGCTGTGTCTTGAGCCAGGCAAGGGGCAAGCTTGTTCGGTGGGCATTTATGGATGGCCATTCACCTCATCAGCTACCACATGCTTGGGGGATAGGAAGGTGTGAACAGTCTCTCTGTGTGCCAGACACATGACATTCCGTCTAAGAACCAGTCCTGTCTCACTCTACTGACCCCCTGTCTCCGCACACAGAGTGCTTTCCCCAGACACAGGACAGGGGAGCACATGATGCTCTTAAAAGTCTCCCTCAGGAACCTGTTCCAAAGACTTGGACACACAGTTCTTAAGTTCTTTCATTAAAATCTGTCCTTCTACATGTTTCCCTCTGAACTAACTCTTCAAAGATGCTGAAACATTTTAAGGTCTTCATGTTGCCTTCTCTAGGCTGGTTTGTTCCAGTTCATTTTTAACTCATTTATAAGTCTGATTCTTCTGCTTCCCAAACCTCCCACCATCCCCCGGGAACATGCACACATCCCCAGAGTCTCCCAGAATAAACTCATACAGTCCTTAAAGAAAAGCTGCACGTGTCTGGATAGAGCTCAGGACCATGGATGTGGGGCTGGGTCCCTCTGATTTCCTTCTGTTAACATAGTCCTGGGCACAGCTGCTTTTGAAAATACCCTTATTAAGCTTGAGCTCCTCTCTAATGCAAGACCCATTCCACCTTCTGGGCCATGACCAAGTGAGGCAGAAGAGAGCAAATAAGGCTGTTCTAGCATTCCCTGCTATGTTCTTTTCCAAGTTCCTCTCCCTCTTCTCCATTAGAGCTTATTTTACCTTGCCCTAATCTCATTTTTCTCCCCAGCCCTGGTAGGAGGAAACTTCATTGTTCAGGGCCATGTGGATATTCAGATTTAGTGGGGAGACTGTGAGAGGATGAGATCAGTTAGCAGAAAAGGTGGGCATCCTTTGGGATTTGGCAGCTTGTAAGACCTGAGATTGCACCCCAGCCCTGCCTTTGGCATGCTAGGTGGTACTGGGCCCATGACTGCTCCTCTCCGAGACTTAGTTTCCTGTCACTTGGTGGGAGCCCGGCTTCTTTGAGGATACCAGGCAGGACAAGGCTGGGGAGTGAGGTGCAGGAGTCTCAGGGCTCATCATTTGGGCTAGTGGTTTGGTCCTGCAGGGTGGAGGAGGAGGTGGGTAGGGGGCTCCTGCCCAGCATCTAAACAGCTTTTTTACAATGTCAAACAGGGGAAAGGCGGCTAGAGCAGCACATGCCCCCTCAGGCCGTTTCTAATGGTAAATATGTCTGCTCTCCACTTGCTCTCACCAGCTTGCTAGGGGAAGGGCTAACCTGCTGGGGCTCCCACTAACTGCATGCCCATTGGCCCAGCCTGACTGGACTCCGGCCTACCAGCAGGGCTCCCCCGGCAGCCTGGGTGCCGGCCCCATTGGGTGACAGAAAACCTGAGTCCCCAAGAGCTGGCCTAGGAGCCTCCATGTTGGTTTTTGTTTTGTTTTGTTTTGTTTTGTTTTTCACAACATAAGCCATTTATTATAAGTATCTCAGCCCAGGTTAACACAGCTATAATGAGAATCTAATTTCTTTTCCTGGACAAATGTATTAGATTTCAGATGTATTGAAATGTGTCCTGTGGCTGTTTGACACTTGAACCTGCATCTTGCTGGTAAGCCAGAGAAGGCATTGAGCAGAATTTGAATGCCTAGGAGGGAAGTTCTTTATTTAACCCCCCACTGGGCTGCATCTGTTTCTGGGTCTGTTCTCTAACCTTGGGAGGGTCTGTTCTCTAACCTTGGGAATCAACAAAAAAGCATCCTTCTTTTGAGTGTTTCACTCTTCCTCTGCCTCCATGTTGGTTTTGTCATTCTTTGGTCTTGTTACTCTCCTTCTCTCCTGCCTTCTCCCTCACCCGCCTCCTAACACCTCACCCCTTCCCAACCATCTGCCCCCCTCCCTCTGTCTGCCTTCTACACACTAAAGACCCAGCCAGCTCCATCTGACCCATTGTGCCCGCTGTGCTCCTGAGATGGGGGGCTAGGGATGAGTAGGTGCCATCTCCTCCTTGGGGCTGCTTTCTTGGGTTCTTACCCACATTAGTTCACAGTCTCAGCACCACTCACCATTCTCTTCCACCCTAATGGTTAAAACATTTTAGTTTAGACAGACCTGAGTTTAAATCCTGGCTCTGCCACCTTCTAACTATATGATCTCAAGCAAACTACTTTTCTCTATGATCCTCAGTTTACTCTTCTGTAAAATAAGGAGAGTAAGAGTCCTCTCTTAGGTTTGCTGTGATAACTGAAATAGTCCATGCAGAGCATCTAGTAAACACCTGACACAGAATAAGCACAGATTAAATCTTGGTTTTAATACTGCAACCCAAAGAGCAACAGGTTGAGGCCCTGCCATCCTGTTGCCCCAGCCTTGCCCTGGATAACACTGTCCTGCAGGGGTGGGCAGCTAGCAATGCCCTGGTTTCTGGTCCAACCTGGGATGGATATTGTGCCAGCTCTGCTGCTCCCCATTCTTGGTCCCTCAGAATGTACCTAGTCTTGGCACAGGATCTCTGTTCCCCTGTCCCGCCTCCAGGGCTTGGGGGCTCTCTTCTTATGCTAAGAGCATTCTTAGCAGGTAATGGCTGCACTTGGACCAGAACTCAGGGTTGCCTCTCTGGTTCCTTGGGAACCTCAGGAGAGACTAAGGTAGGAGGGGTACACAGGAGATCCCACTGTGGCTGCTCACAAACCTGGGCATTTGAGGAACCAGGGCATGAGCAGGGACTCACATGCAGAGCTGGGCTTCTTCTGGAGCCCTTGCCTTTCTGGTCTCCTTGGTGACAAGAGTTGGGCCTAAGCTTTAGGAATCAGAGATTCAAGAAGATGATAGTACTCACTGGTACTTTTCTCATTTAGTCCCTGATTCTGAGAACCACTCTCCTCTCCCCTAGTGGAGGCCTCAGAATTTTGTCTCTCTAATGGGAGAATTCTAGGCCCCCAGAGTATGGCCCACACCTCCTCCACAAGCCCCCACCCCACCCAAGCCTCATGCTGTTTGAGCTGATGGTTTTTTCCCTGGGCTCACCTGACCCTTCTGAACTGCAGTTTAAACCTGTTTTTCTCCTGCTCTGAATTCAGAAAAATAGGGAGAGTGACCCACCCATACTCCTTCCACTCGACCTCTCAGCAAAGGGAAAACTTACCAGTCAAGAGGGGGCAACAGAAGAGACTTAGCTCTGAGGTTCTCTAACTCTATCACCTACCTTCTTATCCCCTTCCTTCTCTGGATTCTTCTTCTCTTTTTGCTCCCTACAAAAGATCTCCCCATTAGGAAAGTAAAACAACAGAATAGGCATCTTATTTGCATCTGGAAATAAAAGGAGAGCTGGGGAGGAGTTGGAGGTAGCTGAGAAGGGGCTGGGAAATGACCAAGTATGTGCTGTCTCCTCTGAGGATGAGCAGTTAGACATGAACTAGGATCTTTCTTATGACAGCTGGGCAGGGAGTAAGGGGAAGATGAATTGATGGCCATCCCTCAGCTCTCTTAGGATCAACAGGCTCACTCTTCCCGAGATTGTCCCATCCTACCGCGACCCCCCCACACCGACCAAAGGCACAGTGGTGGGAGGACGAGGAAACTGTTCTTTCTTGTTCCCTGTCAGGGAGAACCACCCATACTTAGCTCCCCGGCCCTCCCTGAGCCCTCCCCTCACCACCTCCTCCACCCCCTCGGCACATTCCTGCCTGACAGCTCTGGCTTGTACCTGCCTCACTGCTGTCCACCTTGTTTCAATCAAGTAGGGGGCAGGGAAGTGGACTGCTTGGCTGCACTTGTGCAGGGATGGGGGCTGGGAGGAATGGGAGGAAGGGGGCTGGGAGCCTCCACTTAATTCTCTTCCTAAGGCACAGGGAGGCAGCCAAGGCCTTCCCTCAGGCCTCTGGGCTCTCCACTACCTTCAAGTTCGGGACTCCTCCAAGCTGATAACCTGGTTACCATCCCCTGCCTCCCTCCTAAACAGAGACCTGTGCTGTTAACAACGGAGGCTGCGACAGTAAGTGCCACGATGCAGCGACGGGTGTCCACTGCAGCTGCCCTGTGGGCTTCATGCTGCAGCCAGACAGGAAGACCTGCAAAGGTAAGTAAGGGCTTTCAGAGGACAGGAATGTAAGGGGAAAGGGCTGAGTTGGGACCAGAGATAGAGTGCCTATTATGGGACCTCCTCCATGCCCTGGAGGCAATTCTGATTATAAAAAATGAGGACTAAGGCTTGTCTCCTGTCCACCTTTCCCATCTCAATGCAAAGGGCACAAAACTTCCCACCACTTCTTTAGTGCCCCTGCCTCTACCTCACCTTTTTTTCCCCTTACTCTCATTCCTATCCCCCTATAGGTCCTTCACTCTCCTGGTTACCTCTCTTGGTTAAGGAACATGCCATTCACATTTGTCCCTGGGTCTAGAAAGGGCATTTGAGCCCTGACTATGTCACAGGAGTGTTCCATAACCTTCTTAACCCACATTGCCAGACTTTCCAAGTCGGCAGACTGTATCATCAGAGAGAGAACAGGGTAGCACTTAGGAGTGCTGATGCTGGAGGCTGGCTACCTGGGTTCAGATCCAAGCCCCGTGATCCTGTCTCTGTGCCTCAGTTTCACCGCAATAATGATGCTTACCTCATAGGGATGTTGTAAGGAGTAAGTTATATACAAATTATATATAAAGTACTCAGTAGTGCCTGGCAAATGGTAAATACTTTGTGTTAGCTATTGTTATGGTTACAGTTTCCACATCATCCATTCTGTTTCCCCTCTTAATTAACAGATCTGCTGGAAAGGTGGAGTGGGGAAAGGAAAAGGGGAGGGTAGCCATACTGAAAATGATTCAGCAGGTTGTCCCCTGGTCACAAGGAGGGGACTGAAAGGAGAACTAGGCTCATTTTTTTGCATCTTTGGGCCCAACAGCTGGCAGAGAAGATGGGGGAGGCCAGGGGCAGCAGGTCAGCCAGCCAGAGTTGAGAGGTTTCCTTCTGGGAAGGGCTGTTGACAGGTATGCTGAGAGTGAAGTAGAAGACTGCCCTCTCTGCCCCCTCCCCCAAGTAGGGGCAAGTAGCCTGGGTCCTGTCTGCCACCAGCTTGGGGAACTTGACCTCAGGAAGGAAGCCACCCACCCACGCCACCCCCTTCCCTTCCTAGTGCTGAAAGCTGCCTCAGGCCTGAGTCTCTCCAGACCTCTCCAGTCCAGCCCCCTGCCTGGCCCTCCTCCCTCCCCCACCAGCTATCCAGCCTCACTGGCTCTCCTGGAGGTCAGCCTTGCCTGGCCTCTCTCCCAGCTCTTCTGTTAGTAGGACTGCCCCTTTGAATCTCCACCTCTGTGTGCTCCCCCAACCCCCATGACTCTTATGACAGGCAAGGGCAGGGAATAGAGAAGGACAGACCCTATGCACCAGCCTTTTGGGGAGGGGCCATGAGCAGCAAAGTGAGGGGCATGGATTAGCCCTGTAGGTCAATGCCTATCCCCTTCCTGCTCCAGGCAATTCCCTGAGGACCTGACTGTGGTTCCCCTCTATCCCCTTCTAAGAGGCAGTCTTAGGAAAGAAGGTGTTACTAATGGCACAGATCTCCTGAACAGGGAAGAAACATGCAGCAGTGAGAAAGGAGTCAGTAGGGGCAGGCCCAGGGCTCTCCTTGATTTTCTGTCTCTGTGAGGGAGGCAGGGACTTTGTCTCCTTATTTGTGCCCAGCCTTCAATATTACCTTTGATTCTCTCCACTTTGTCCTGCTTCCCCAGACATAGATGAGTGCCGCTTGAACAATGGGGGCTGTGATCACATTTGCCGCAACACGGTGGGCAGCTTCGAATGCAGCTGCAAGAAGGGCTATAAGCTTCTTATTAATGAGAGAAACTGCCAAGGTGAGCAGACTTGGGCCAAGGGGAAAGTCTTGGGAGAAATTCTTGGGGGCAGGAGAGCTTCAAGGAGACCAGAGGGCCACAGTCTGAAAAACTAACTAGACACTGTGGAAAATCTCCAGAGGTGGTGTCATGCTGCAAATTAGCAAATGTACCCTACCCCTTCCTCTCAGCAGACCAGCTCTGCACTGAGGCACACAGCTTGGCAAGGAGTGAGGCGTGAATTTCACCCCAGTCACATCCTTGGCATCATCTGCCCTTCCTAACTAGACATGGGGGCCCTGATCCATAGGCACCAGATCTCACAGTTCCTGGCTAACTCCAAAGACTCCAAGTGGAGGGGGCATAGGGCACCAGCTGGCTGTGGACTGCCCTGCCTCCGACAACGAATGGAACGGCGGCTGAAAGGGTCTCTGAAGATGCTTAGAAAGTCCATCAACCAGGACCACTTCCTGCTGCGCTTGGCAGGGCTTGATTATGAACTAGCCCACAAGCTGGGCCCAGTAGCTGGGGAGCGAGCTGAGCTGGTAGAGGCCTGTAGGCATTGTGACTTGCTGATTCTAGGGCTGGGCCAAGAATAGGGGCTCTTTCAATTTAAGGGGACAGCCAAGGGCCTTCACTTGGGCCCTTCACCTGAGCACAGGGTTCCAGGGTCGGGTCCCCCAAGACAGAGTCAGTGGCTTGAATCCTTGCTCTTCCAGATATAGATGAGTGTTCCTTTGATCGAACCTGTGACCACATATGTGTCAACACACCTGGAAGCTTCCAGTGCCTCTGCCATCATGGCTATGTGCTGTATGGTGTCACCCACTGTGGGGGTAAGCCAACAAATGTGGACCCTCAGCCACCCAGCACCCCCCCCACCTCCCCACCCATTGCCCCTTGACTCCTGTCTTCATCTCCTCAATTATAGCCCCCCTGGTAGGTAGGAGGGGAAGGCTTTATAAGGCCTGTCAGCTTGGCCCCTTCTCAATTGTTCTTTTGATCGGGGTCAGAGAAAAGGGAAGGAGGGCCTAGGTTTGAGCTCCTCAGGCATCATTTTGGAGTGCCTGGAACTCTAACCAAAGGTACTCACTGCCTGCTCCCTGGCTCCTCCCCCACCATTGTTTGTCTGTGTCTCCCTACTCCGTTCCCCAGATGTGGATGAGTGCAGCATCAACCGGGGAGGTTGCCGCTTTGTTTGCATCAACACTCCTGGCAGTTACCAGTGTACTTGCCCAGCAGGCCAGGGCCGGCTGCACTGGAATGGCAAAGATTGCACAGGTGGGCAGCGCCCTCTGCTGGCTACAGCTGACACTGCAGTTTTGGGCAGCTGGAGAGTTGAGGTCCTGCAAGGTGTGGAGTTACATGCTGATGAAGGTGTGAGGTAGTGCAGGGTGGAGATGTAGCCATCTGAGTTAGAGGCATTAAGTTTCTGGCAAATAATCTTTTCATCAGTCTCTGTACAATCCCAGTTCTGCATGTGTAGCTAATTCTCTTCCTCCAAATTACCCAACTGGGAGAGGGTGGGGAGGAAGGCCCTTTCCTCCTCAGGCCTCTCTCCCCTTCCTAGAGCCAGTAAAGTGTCAGAGCAGTCCTGGTGCCTCGAAAGCTGTGCTCAGCTGCAACCGGTCTGGCAAGAAGGACACCTGTGCCCTGACCTGCCCCTCCCGGGCCCGGTTTTTGCCAGGTACATAGAGGTTGCTGGATAGCTGGCAGGGAGGAAAGGCCGACTCTTCTGGCGGCTGCTCTGTTCTCCTTGGATTCCTCCAACAACTAGGCATTGGGGGGTAGGGGTGTGGGAGGCAGGTCAGAGCTGTGACAGCCCCCTTCTCTCAGAGTCTGAGAATGGCTTCACGGTGAGCTGTGGCACCCCCAGCCCCAAAGCCACTCCAGCCCGGGCTGGCCAAACTGGGAACAGCACAAACTCCAACCACTGCCATGGTGAGCACCAGCCCAGAGGCCTTGTTCCCACCTTACTCCTCTTGCTTTTTAGCCCCTATTTCTCTTCTTCATTAATCCTCCTGGCCTTTTTCCTGGATGCCCTTCTTTTACTCTGTAATTCTCCAGCCCTACTCCCTTGTTCCCTCTGCCTAACATCTGATTCCTTTAGCTTTCAAAATCCCTCTCCTCCAGTCAAGCTCTTGGCTTATTACCCAGCTTCTCAACACCTTCTTACAGCAATTCCCTACCCCAGGAGGCCCCCACCCCTCAGGCTATGCTGAGCTTCTACCATCCCTTTAGAGGCTGCAGTGTTGTCAGTTAAACAGCGGGCTTCCTTCAAGATCAAGGACGCCAAATGCCGCCTGCACCTGAGAAACAAAAGCAAAACGGAGGAGGCCAGCAGAATCATGGGGCCAGGTCTGGACTGGGGACCCCACTCCAATGGGCTGTCTGGCCACCAAACCCATCCTACCCCTCAGCTCCTCTGCTTAGAGAGACCTCCAAAAACCCACTGGCACCCTGAACTCTATAAAGAGCACAGGAAGAAGCAGTTGTAGGCATAGAGCCAAGAAAATCCTAGATATTCCTCTCACCTACTAATTGGTATCCTAGACTAAAAGAGGATTAAGTTGCAGTCATATATTTGGTAGGGTCTTTCTGGGTTGGGGTGAACAAGTGAGAGCTGGAAGTGAGAACTTTTCTTGTTCCCAGAGGGTACCCTTGGGGCTGACAAGGCCTCTCCCCCAGGTGGTGCCCCCTGCTCTGACTGCCAGGTCACCTTCATCCACCTCAAGTGTGACTCCTCTCGGAAGGGCAAGGGCCGGCGGGCCCGGACCCCTCCAGGCAAGGAAGTCACTCGGCTCACCCTGGAACTGGAGGCAGAGGTCAGAGCCGAAGAAACCACAGGTGGGACTGGGGACACTGTTGGGAGGAAGATGGAAAGGGGAGAGTAGACATGGGGAAACCACAGGTCTCAGCTACAGAGAGAAGGGGCAGACCCTGCCTAATGCCAAGCCCAGGAGCCAGTCCCTCTTACCACACCCCTGCTAGCACCTGGGTGTGCTCCCTTGCCCTCTTGCTGACAGCTACTCTGTTTCTCTTCCTTCCCTGACTCACCACCATCTACTACCAGCTGGCTGTGGACTGCCCTGCCTCCGACAACGAATGGAACGGCGGCTGAAAGGGTCTCTGAAGATGCTTAGAAAGTCCATCAACCAGGACCACTTCCTGCTGCGCTTGGCAGGGCTTGATTATGAACTAGCCCACAAGCTGGGCCCAGTAGCTGGGGAGCGAGCTGAGCTGGTAGAGGCCTGTAGGCCTGGGCAGCACCGTGCTGGGGCCAAGTGTGGTAAGGGAGTTTGCTGGGGAGCAGGGGAGTGGGGAAGGTCCAACTTGGGCCTGGATCACAGCAGGACACTTTATGGCCTGTTACACTTTTCAAACTGTGAGGCAGCCAAAACCTTCCTGCCTATCCTCACCTTCCTAGTCCCAGGCTGAAATCTAGAGGGACATCATATGAGGCCACTAACCCTCCTGCACATGGCTTTGGCGCCTGATCCTCCTAAACAGGATTCTGTTAATTTCTAAAGAGATTCTCCTTGAATCTGGGAGAGTGGGAAGGGGAGTTCCAGGCCTGGGTGGTGGGAAATAGGGGGGTGGGTGGCTAGCACGGCCGACTCTCCCTCAGTCAGCTGCCCGCAGGGGACGTATTACCACGGCCAGATGGAGCAGTGTGTGCCATGCCCAGCGGGCACCTTCCAGGAGAGAGAAGGGCAGCTCTCCTGCGACCTTTGTCCTGGGAGTGATGCCCAGGGGCCTCTCGGAGCCACCAACATCACCACGTGTGCAGGTGCCAGGGGAACAAACAATACAGAGTGGGGAAGGGTGGGCACTGGGACGCCCATGGGCATGGGATTTCCCAAGGACAGGCCCAGGCTCCAGGCCACTCTCCTAGTCAACATCCTATGTGTGCGCCTCTGTCCCCTGAGACTGGGTGACCCCACAGGGAAGGCCGGGACCATCCCCATCAGAGTTGGGCCCTTGATTCATTGCAGGTCAGTGCTCACCTGGCCAATACTCTGTAAATGGGTTCAAGCCCTGCCACCCATGTCCACGTGGCACCTACCAACCTGAAGCAGGACGGACCCTGTGCTTCTCATGTGGTGGGAGCCTTCCCACCAAGCACGAGGGGGCCATCTCCTTCCAAGACTGTGACACCAAAGGTGAGTGGGCTGCCCACCTCACTAGGGGACGCCCCAGTGTGCACTACTTCCAGAAACACTCTTCAGCCCCGCAGAACAGACTCAAGTGTGCTGCCCTACCACCTTCGCCAAACCAGGAAAGGCCCAATTGCCTGACCAACCATACCATCCTGACCTTCCACAAGTCCCAAACCTAGGAATTAGGGAGTAAATAACAGGTCCACTTACCCCTCTGCTTTGGAGAACCGGTGATACACTTCCCTCAATACTACAAACGAGTTTCTGTACAGGTTTAGCACTACCCTCAGTGCCTGAAAGAAAAGGATTGGCACAGCCAACCACTGTGTCTAGTATTCAAATTTGTTTTTCCCTGGGCTTAAATTCTGGCACGAATAGGAAAGGTTTGGACTCTGGAAGGAACTTCGGTGTCTTCCATCTCCTGATTCTCCATGATGACTGTGCCCTGCCCATCCCATGCCCCAGAACTCCCACATGCCTGTCACCTTAACTCCAACCTTTGCCCCTTGCCTGCAGTCCAGTGCTCCCCTGGGCATTACTACAACACCAGCATCCACCGCTGTATCCGCTGTGCCATGGGCTCCTATCAGCCTGACTTCCGTCAGAACTTCTGCACCCGCTGTCCAGGAAACACAAGCACAGACTTTGATGGCTCCACCAGTGTGGCCCAGTGCAAGAGTACGTGGCAGGCCAGGCTGTGGAAAAAGGAGTAGAGAGCCCTGGGACCAGTGGACATGGGGAGGGAGGGGGAATAAACCAGCAGGGAGCAGGGCCAGGGAGTGGAAGGGCAGGAAAGTCCCACCCTCCATCTCTCCCCGACCTACTCAACCTCAAGACCAGTTTCTGGACTGGGCCCTGTAACACCCTCTCCCTGGAGACAGGTAATAGGCAGAGATGGTAAAGTGATGATGCAAAGGCAGGAAGGAAAGTGGACCCAGAACCAGAAAATAGGTGATGAACAAGGAAGATAGCTGCCCATATGTGTCTGATTTCTACTTGAGAACTCTTCAATTTTCCCAATCCATTCCTCCACTGACTTCCCTTCTCTTTCTTTCTCTGTCCACCGGGGCTTGACTAGATCGCCAGTGTGGTGGGGAGCTGGGTGAGTTCACTGGCTATATCGAGTCCCCCAACTACCCAGGCAACTACCCAGCAGGCGTGGAGTGCATCTGGAACATCAACCCCCCACCCAAGCGAAAGATCCTTATTGTGGTACCCGAGATCTTCCTGCCATCAGAGGATGAGTGTGGGGACGTCCTCGTCATGAGAAAGAACTGTGGGTGGCTACAGAGCTGGGCCAGGGAAGGGCAATTCAAATCTGGTTTGGAGGGAGAGAAAGAGAAGATTGGTACAAGAAAGAATCAGGGCAGTGCCAAGGGAGGCCTCGGGAGGAGAGAAGCTAACAAGGGAAAGTAGCAATGAATGCTGCACATTCAGCGGAGAGCATAGTTCAGAAAGCCAGCACTAGGACTTGAACTCTAATAGTGTCAAATGTGTTGCTTTCCTATTCTAGCATTTTTGCGACCCCACTCATTTAAATGTCAAATTTCTTATACTGTGTGAGTGCCTGGATGTCACAGAAGAGCTGTAGAGCAAGCCCAAGGCAGTGAGAGAGGATACATGTATATTGGAGGTGGGAGACGTGCACGCATGGGGAGAGCCTCTGTTAGCATGATTCCTTCCCCTGAGAGCCCTCAATCCAGGAGGATTTGTGTAGCCTCAGTCCTGTGGCTCTCCTGACCTGCTGCTTGCCTTCCCAGCCTCCCCAGCCTCCATTACCACCTATGAGACCTGCCAGACCTACGAGCGCCCCATCGCCTTCACAGCCCGCTCTAGGAAGCTGTGGATTAACTTCAAGACAAGTGAGGCCAACAGTGCCCGTGGCTTCCAGATCCCCTATGTTACCTATGATGGTGAGCAAGGGCAGGAGAGCCAGGGAGCTGGGTGAGAAAAGGGAGGTTCCTGGGTCTTGGGAGGGAGCAAGGGGGGCAGGAAAAGTCCCCAACCCTAACCTTCTCCCCTTGTCTGACTTTGCAGAGGACTATGAGCAGTTGGTAGAAGACATTGTACGAGATGGCCGGCTCTACGCATCTGAAAACCACCAGGAGATCTTAAAGGTGAGTGAATATTAATAACGATGGCCAACACTTGATGAGCATGTAACAATGTGCAGGCAATTTGCTAAGTGCTTACATGAATATTCTCATTTGGTATGCACACTATTCCTATGAAATAAGTACTTTCATCATTCCCCCTTTACAGAGGAGAAAACTGAGACACAGAGAATTACAGAACTTGCCCAGCGGTAAGGCTGGGATTTAAGCCAAAACCCATCTGACAGCAGTGTCACTCATACTATCTTACATCTCAGGGAGGAAAATGGGAAGAGGAAGACATAAAAAGTCCCCTATCTCTCCTATCAAGAAATATAAGGAAAATGAGATACAGAAAGATGCTTCTGCACATGTCAAATCCTTCCCTTACTCCCTCTTCAGCTCCACAGAAAATCTACAGATCTAGCACAGCATTTCTCAGTTAACTCAGCATAGCCCTCTTTTAAAGGAAAAGAAATGTTTTCAATGTTGAAGAATGGACTAGATACCTGAGTCTGTGGATCCCAGTCTGAGAAAATCTGAAGAAATATAACTATAATCCTAGTCACAGTATTATCCTTAATAAATTATCAATGCAAAAAAGTTTTATCTTTATGATTAGTAATTTTATACTATCAAAATAAGATACAATGACAAATTAATTTCTCCTAGAATTTGCAGACTTCAAAGGACCAAATGTCAGTGATGCTTTTCAAACATTTTTTTAAAGCATCTGAACCCTTATTTCAAATGCATTGTGGAACTCCAATGCATAAAGTAGTGGAGCCATTTTTATTGAAGTAGAGATGACAGGCTGGAAGCCCCACCTCTTCTTTTAAAAATCCGCTGATAAAATGGGAAGAACACTAGCCTAGAAGCCAGAAGATCTGAGTCCTGATGCACATTGCTTGGCATGTAGTAGGTTCTTCACACATCATGTTGCTGTTTGAGACAGGCTGGTCAGGAAAGGGTTCTAAGGAGAAGAGACCTGACTGAGGTAAAGGGCCAATCCATTAGATCAGGAGAGGTGCATTCCATACCATTGGGCAGAGAAGCAATATGGCATGTTCAAGAATCTTGAGAAGGCCAGTGTGGCTCATCAGTATATGGAAGATGGAGGAGAAAGAGCAAGGCACAGATCACATATAGCCTACGGGCCATGCAAGGGACTCAGCTTTCTGATTAAAAAAAAAAAATAGGTAAGTGTTTTGAATAGAAGGACATAGTCTACTTAAGAACCAAAAATGTCACTCTGGCTGTCACAGACTGGGGAGAACAATTTGTAGAGGAACAAGGGTGGGTAGGAGCACGGAGACCCGTTAGGAGGCTATCATAGTATTCCAAGTGAAAGATGATGGTGGCTTGAACAGGGTGGTAGCTGTGGTGATGATGAGAAGTGGTCAGACCCTGGATATATTTTGAAGGTAGAATCAACAGGATTTGCTGTGGTTATGAGCAAGAGAAAGGAGTCAAGGATGGTTCCAAGTATTGGGATCTAAGCAATGGAAGGATGGAGCTGCCATTGACCGAGTTTCAGAATTCTAAAAGAGGAACAGATGGTAGGGATGGGAATCCAGAGTTCACCTCTGGATATGCCTGTTAGACACCAAGAGGGGCTGCTACTGCATTGAAGGTGATGTTCTTCTTTCCCCTGACACTAAAGCTGACACTGCCACCTGCCATCCTCTGCAGGACAAGAAGCTCATCAAGGCCTTCTTTGAGGTGCTGGCCCACCCCCAGAACTACTTCAAGTACACAGAAAAGCACAAGGAGATGCTGCCAAAATCCTTCATCAAGCTGCTCCGCTCCAAAGTTTCCAGCTTCCTGAGGCCCTACAAATAGTGCCTCTAAGTCCAAGACCCAGGTTTTGAAGCCCCAGACTCCTTAGCCCTGGGAGCCAGCAGCTCCACCCTCAGATGAGGAACTCTCTCCTTCTTTCTGGAGGACAAAAAAAAAACATAACTATATAGACAAGGACTCTCACTTCCTGTCTGTCTAGCTTCCTTTCCTTCTCTCTGTGTGTGTGTCTCTCTTTACTGTTTTCCCTTTTCCTTCATACTCCCTGGAAAAGCCATTCAGTGCTGGCTCTATTCCCGCCTGAGGGGAGAAGGAACAATACCTCCCTTCCTCTCCCCAGCCATACTGCCTGTTTTACCAGCTCACATCCCTGCCTCCATCAACCTGGAAGGGTGCTAGAGGCCCATGAAGGAAGTGGGTCTAGTACAGAATGGGGAGGAGTAAGAGGGGCTTCTGCCATTATAGGGTTATGCCTTGCTACTCAGGAGCCAAAATCTTCCTTGGCTGTGCCCCAAAGAAGCCTTTAACTTACAGGCTTAATGCCAGCACTGGCCCACTGGGGCATGTGGTTTGAGCTCTGGACTGCCCATGCAGCCAGCTTTATTGTCTTGAGAGCTCCTCTCCTTCTTCCCCTACATGTCTGCCTGGGGTCCAGTCCATGAGGGCTTACAAAAGGCCCACACCACTGGGTAACAGACACCAGCTGAAAAAGGAAGAGTAGCAAGCATTACTGTGTTGAATGCACCACTGTCAATCCCCAAGAGAAAGACTATAGCTCTGCAGCATACAAACCAGGTGTTAAAGCACTGCCAAAAAAAGAAAATGGATCATCTAAAGGACTAGACTAGATAGCAATTGGAAGCCAGCCTCAAACACTAATCCCTCTTCTTGTCTCCCCTGGCCCAGCCATCTCTCACCCCAACCAAATGCTCCCTGGGGGAGCCCTAGCCCTACTCCCCTTGCTAATTGTTGTCCTTAAAGAAACGTGGCTGCTGACCAGAAGCCAGCCTGGGCTTTGCCCCAGAGTTGTCTTTCCTTTGTAGCCCCAGATGGCTTGTGGACTCCACCAAAGAGGACCCTGCAGCCAGTCCAGAGCCACCTACCTCTGGCCCCAGGCTGTGGGCAGCAAGAGGAATATGTGTGCACTTGGAGAATCTTCTGCCCACCCTGTCCAGATCTACTAAGTGCAATCATTTTGAGACTTTCTATGTTGTCTAGAGGGACGGATTTTTGTTTTCTGATTTTTTTTCTTTTTCCTCTATTAAAACAACCCTATTTATAGCTGCCCAAGAGGGAAGAGTGTATGTTTGGAGTGGAAGAAAAAAAGGTTTTGAATCTCATGAACCTTGAGTGCTGGAGCATCTCATCTGCCTCTACCCCCTCCAGTGGCCATCCAGACCTCGAGAGCCCTCAGCTGTGGTAACCCACAGCGGTTGCTCAGAGGCACCTGATGTGTAGGTCAGTAATTCTGGGGACTTAATGGAGCAGAAAGGAGAGGGACCTGTGTTTGATAAACCAATCATGCCATCCCTATGCCTCTGCATGGATTCAGCATGGACCTCGGGATTGGAGATTCCAATGGAACTGGTCAGTGATTCTTCACCCCAAGTAGGGAAAACCTCCATCTTTTCTCTGTCTCCATCCTGTTTTCCCCTGGTGAGCACATGGAAGATCAGGCCATATCCCCTGGGGGTGGGCTGACTCAGGGCCCTGAGGCGAGAGACAAGGCTGTAGGAGCTAAGAATAAGACAGTTTTTCAGGCATGAAGTTGTTTGCCTGACCTTGGCCACTCTGCCTACCCCAACATGTTCGCCATTCTCTCTTGGAAGTTGAATTCAAGCCTAGCTTCCTCAATTACTTCTTTTCAAAAGGAAGAAGATTCAAGTCCCTGCCCAAGCCCAGATCCTACATACATGCCACCCTCAATCCCACTGCTGCCTGTAAAATTATTTTCCATTTGCTCCTTCTAGTTACCCAAGGCTGTAGTCCTCAATCAAAGGCTACCAGGTAACTCCTAGGGTTCATTTCTAATTGACTGTCCTAGGCAACTGCTCCTCCCACAGACTCAACACTGAATAAAGGAGCCTGACAACTCCCCACCAGTAGCATCCACAGCCATAACAGCCTCAGGCAGTAGGTAGCCAATGTCACAGCTAGATCCCCTGACATCCATTAGCCAATACCATGGGCCTCAGTGGTAGAGTGTTTGGCTACCTTTGTCTCTCTAGGTCAAAGAGGGTTCTGCTGTAAAGATACAAATGGCTGCTTCCAAGTAGGGTCATTTAATAAAAGTACCCACACATCCCAGGAAATGGCCATGAAAACTGTTTTAATCAATTTTGATCATCCTAATTCTCCACTAGGAGCTAAAATAACTTTACAATTTCCTTTCTCCCCACCATTTTGCATCTCTCTTAGAAAGCCAGAGTTCTTCTCAATAAATGCCTTCAAAGTCTGGCTTTTCCTTGCTCTCATCCTTTCCTGTCACCCCATACATACACATAAACACACTTCCTCCAATCATATATTCCATGGTTTCTGCAATCTGCAAATGATTTCCACAGTATGTATAGATCACTAGGCTTCTTAACTGATGTCAAGACAGATCTTGGTGAGCAGGTGAAGACCTGATAACATCCACCAAATTTAATTTAGGTTGTCCAGGTTGGGGGTTAAGAATCCAGGCAAAGCTCCCACTGAACTATGGAGGAAGCTGGCTCTGGGACATCAAACTAGAGGATAAGTAGATTGAATGAGGAGTCAGTTCTCAGGGACTCTCTAGGCCTTTACAGGTCAGACAGAAAAATTGGTTTTAACCGTGTGGGGAAGTAGAAAAAAATGTAAATACAAACTCATGAACCAGCCCAAAGCCCTCTCTGCAGGATGGAATGTTTACAGGGTCACAGTAATGTGAGGCCTCATTTATCTTAGTACAAAACCTGCCCTGATCTGGGAATGGAAAGCCATTTCTGCAAGGGCTCTGTGATGCATATCAGAAAGGCACTTATATCCTCAGTAACATGGCAATCCCTTTTTACTTTTCTGCTTCCCTCCGTCTGTATTATTAGGCCTGGCCCACTCTTGAACCATAAGGGAGCTCTCAAAGGCCCGAGAAAACTGACCAGAGACTTGAGCTGCCCTGCCCCAGGCCTACAAATCCCCAGAGGCTGACATTGAGCTGTGACTGCTTTTGACTTCCCCAGTATGGGTTAGTTTGAAGTGGTGGAGGTTCAGTTTTGTTGCTGAAAGTTCAGTAATACAGTCCTAGTTTTTGGCCCTAATGAAACTTTTTATATCCAAAACGTGTTCTCCATATGTTTGTTTGAACTTAATTGGAATGGATTAGGAGGTCTTATCTCAAAGTATGAGAAAATAGTATATTCAAATTTTTATATTTGCTTCTTAACCTCAATATAACAGACTCAAACTAGGGGAAGGGAATGGACCATATAGTATAGCTGACCATAAGCAGAAAGTAATGCTAACCTGTTTGGCTTCTTAAGCACAGTAAGAGAAAAGTGGAAGCAACACAAGGATATCTTTAAATCTGCCTCAAAGGTAGCACAGCCTGTCCTTGGGCCATTATTTGAATTAGTAACCCTTTAAGAAAATATATGATTAAAGGGACTAGAACCCCCAGTTCTGTTACCAGCTTATATAGACAACACAGATTATAGCAGTTGGACAACCTGAAAGCCATTCTTCTGTGTGAGCTGAACTGAAGTTTTAAAGAATAATCATTACCATGTGAGAGGCTTTTTTTTTAATGCAGAATAAATCTCAGAATGTTGTGTTTATGTTTGCTGTCAATATAGTAAGAATCTCCTACACAATCAACAATAAACAATAAATGTTGCAGTTGATAGAGTATTTTGCACTTGGGGGAAAAAAATGTATCTGAACTTGTAAAAAGATGTTTGGATTTTGTATTGTCTTTTTTATTATTATTAAAATATTAAATGAAACTCCTCAGCCTGGTATCTTTTGCTCTGTCTCAATAACTTATCCGAGAGCTAGAGAGAGCTTGGAGGAGACAAAATGTTTTCTAGCTTCCAGATAGGACTTACCCAAATTTTTCATTTATCTGTTTTACTCCTAATGATTCTAGAATTTGAAAAGGGTTGTCTCTTTGTCTATTCTTACAGCAGTATCAAGAATTATCCTGTGAGGGGGATCAAGAGGCAGGGGTAAATTTAGGGTATTGTTCTTCCTCTCCACAGTACAGTTCCCAAAAGCTGGCCAGGCCACAAACTCCCTAGTCAAGATGTCCCACTTCTAGCAAAGTAGCAGCACTATGAATCACCCAAGGTTATTCTTTTTTATGCAGTACATTCTTGGCCACCAAACACAATACTAAAATACAGATCATTCAGCCACTACCACAGGGCGTGAGAAAGCAATCTCCAATCTCTTAATAAGTGAACAGTCCCAATTTCTAAGCTCAGATAATAGATAAAACTTAGTTGTCGTAATTATATAATTCCTGACATGAAATTTTATTGGATTTAATATCTACACGATATAGCCATTTAAGAGGAACAAGGAAATATCTACCTGATCAAAAAATATGTTGGATTGGCCTCCCAGAATCCTGAATTTCCGTGTTACCATCCATAAAGAACACAGATGCATTACTGAACTGTTATATGCCAGGCACAGTGCATCAGGCTATCATGGCTTGATAACAGTAGCCATGCTCAAGATTTATGCTCTTCATGTAAGATTATTACAACTGATCTTTCCACATAGATTTCCCAATGGGAGAGAAAATCCACTCTACTTGGTGGCTGAGTATAAATTATCATTCTATTTAATATATTGCATGACTTTGATTTAGCATGATAAAACATGAGCAACTCTATATGAAATGCCAAAATCACATTTCTAGAACTGCAAAGCTAAGGTCCATAAACAGGACTGTTGTGACTACACCAATTTGGGACCATCCTCTCTGACTTCTCTCTTAACCCCCTTCTATTCCAAAAACACTAAGTCTTACACCTTCTTCTTAGTACACTTCCAATAATATCCCAGAATAATATATAATCAGGACCAGTGGAGTGTGGGTCTGCCTATATCAAGCAATCTTTAAAATGGGGTACATGAAGACTTTCAAAGGAATTTTTCCAAGGGTATGTGAAAACTTCCCAGGGGGTACCAGGGCAAGGAAATGAATGGGAGGAGAATTCTAAGGGAATACATTTCCAGATCCTCAACTTTCATAAGAAATCTTCCCTAAAATGAATGAGAACCAGCCACCATATTCATCCACATTCTTCATTCCACCTCCTTTCACCATAGTCTTTGTCCATCTTCATTCCACCTCCTTTCACCATAGTCTTTGTCCAACTTTACAAAAGAAAGGCATATCCCTCACCTACCCTGAATTTTGAAGCATAGTCCAGGGTATAAAAACCTGGGGGTAAGAGGGAGAGGTTTTTTCCCCCTCATATCAAAATATTATAATTATAATCAGTCTTCTTATAATAGGACTCTTTTTACTATTTTCTACTTCCAACTAGCAACAAATCAAATTGTTGGTTAGCTACTCAACCCATTATTTACTAGCAAATATACTTTTTATTTTTTATTAAATACTTAAGAGAAAATTTGTCATGAGATCTAACAAAACTATGGGAGTTATTTCTGATTTTTATACATGATTCTTACTTAATTGTTCCCAAAAGCCAAATATCAGAATTCAACACAAGCACATAC